CAAAAATAAAGTTCGCCCTTGTCGGTACCAGAGCCACAACACGCACACATTTCAACAATTGTCGGGAAAAAAACAATTATGAACGAACAATTTTAATTAAAACATGTAAGTTATACCCATCTTACTCAGAACATATGTACTCCCGATCTTGCTCTCTATCGACATTGTCCGTCAGCTTGTCTTCGGATTCTTTTCCAGTCTCACCGTCTGTGTCGCTACCGTTGTGACTGCAGGGGGATGTTGAGTATAATGTTTATTTAGGAAATATAGGATAGCGTAGGATTTGTTCCTTTCTTGACTTGTACTCCAAGATGACCATGTACTCCTATATATATGCCCACGAGGCTCAAGCAGTACAACAGACTATTCCACCAATCCTCTCTCTCCCTTCTAACATGGTATCTATCGCAAGTCGATCCTAAACCCTAGCCGCCGCTGCTTCCGCACCTGCGCGGCGCCCCCGGGGCGGTCGGCCTCCATGACCGCCGCCGGGGGCCGCGCCGCCCGTACCTAGGGTTCGTCCGCCGGCCATGTTGGCCGGCTGCCCAAGAGAGTCTTTTTTCCCGATCCTTTGATCCGGGTTTTCTCTCTCTCGCCAGTCGCTTTGATCGGCGTCTACTTTTTGGTTTTCCGGTCTATGTGATCCGGTTTGCGTCGCCCACCGCCGCCGTCGACCCCGAACGCCTCTACTCCGACCCTGGCACGACCCGCCGGCCTCTCCTCCGACCCGGCGGCCACGCGCGCCGAGGCGGCCCGTCAGGGCCAGCCTTCGTCCGCGCGTCGGTCCGCCCGTCGCCCTGCGCCGGCCGTCACCGTCCTGCTTCGATCGGGACTCCTGCATCACCAGACCCGGCGGCCTCACGCCATGCGGCGGCCAATCATAGCCGCCCTGCCGCCCGCCGTCGTCGGCTTCATCTCGGACTCCGCCGCCACCCCGTCTCCACCGAGCAGCGTCCCCGACCTTGCGCGCGATCGGATTGATCACCCACCCGCCGCCGCGATCCGCCTCATCTACGTCGTGCGACCGACCTGGCCCGTCGGTTGCGCGCGCCTCCGCAGGTCCCGTGAAGATCGTCCCCGAGTTCAACGCGTCCCTCCACCGATCGAGCAACAGGCTGCCGTTGCGTCGCCCCGTCGGGCCGCAGCGCCGCCGCCCCATGGTTCTTCTCCCGGCTGCACTGACCCGCGTCACCGCTGCGTTACCCCTTCGGGCCGTAGTGCCGCGACCCGCGGTCCACCGCCGCCCTGAGGCTGTCCTCTCCTGGTCGTCCCCGTGGCCGCAACGACCCTCGCGCCGCCGCTGCGTCGCCCCGTCGGGCCGTAGCGAGTGTGGCACGTGGTCCACGCAGCCGTCCCGAGGCTGTCCCAGCGGTTGCACCGACCCGCACTCCTCCGGCATGCCGCCCCTTCAGGCTGTCGCGCCGCGGCCCGCGGTCTCCGCCGCCGCCCCGAGGTCTTACCGCCGTCGCCCCGATCTGTCCGCCGCCGCTGCGTCGCCCCTTCGGGCTGTAGCATCGCGGCCCGCGGTCCACTTCCTCCGTCATCGAGCGTCGACCTCCTGTGGTATGCTCCGCGCCGTCTCCCTTGGCGCGGAAACGCCACCGTCTGCGCCGGTCTTCGTCACGTTGTCAGGGTTTTCCGCCTACTTCGAGCATCGCCGCCGCGCTCCTAATCAAGCCGCCACTGCCGCTTTTCTTTGGCCGCCACCGAAGCTACCCCGTAGCCGCCGTAGCCGCCCGTCCAACTCCTTCGTCTTCATCCAGCACCAGCCCGTCATCAGCGTCGCCGTCATCTACCTCGACCACTTCGTCTACTCCGACCACTGTTGGTGACATTGGCCCCGCGCCGATGGACGCCGCAACCGTCGTCGAGTTCTTCTCTGCTGGCCCTCCGACTTCTTCGACATGGCGTACAGCTCGTGCAGGTCCTAGTCTCCGCATGCCCGGTGTTGGCAACACCGCCGCGTGCCTTCGTCCACGATGTGTTCTCGGGCCTGGCAAGCCTGGTGCGGCGCTTCGTCAACTTCGTCTTCATCCGTCTACGCATGCCCAGTGCTGGCAACATCGGTGTGTGCCTTCGTCTACGATGTGTCCCCGGGCTTGGCAAACCCGGTGTGACGCGTTGTCAAGAACATCTCCTTTCCGGCGCACCACTACTTCGACACCACTGCGCCCATGCTAACTCGGCGCCCCTTGCGCCCGCGGCTCCACGGCGACTTCCTCGACACCGGCCACCCCGACTCACATCGACCACGTCATTCTTCGCACGGCTACCTCGACCACCACCCACGCTCTCGGCTACATCGACAAACGGCACAGAGGGCTACCGCCTGCTTGAGGAACCTCGTCGGTTTTCACTCCAGCCATGACTCCGCGATGCATCGACCATTACGACTGTGGGGGGGTGTCCGTCAGCTTGTCTTCAGATTCTTTTCCAGTCTCACCGTCTGTGTCGCTACCGTTGTGACTGCAGGGGGATGTTGAGTATAATGTTTATTTAGGAAATATAGGATAGCGTAGGATTTGTTCCTTTCTTGACTTGTATTCCAAGATGACCATGTACTCCTATATATATGCCCACGAGGCTCAAGCAATACAACAGACTATTCCACCAATCCTCTCTCCCCCTTCTAACAGACATCAATATCCAATCTCTCTTACCCCATGTGCCTCTCTACCTTTTTGCTTCCTATGTGTGTGTGTGTGTGTGTGTGTGTGTGTGTGTGTGTGTGTGTGTGTGTGTGTGTGTGTGTGTACATATAGACGGATTATGATTTAATCCAGGTGCCAATGCTATGTGGTTAAGCTCACTCGGAATATATTTTTATAGAATTGCCATAAGAGAAACCTATAATTATGAGATGGAAATAAGTGAAACATGCAAGTTATACCCTTCATCGTAGCATAGTATCCCTATGGTTATAATGATAGGGGAAACTTTATGTTGCATTGGCTAAACCTTGCACAATCGTATGCATGCACTCTTTTTATTAGACTGGGCACCTTTTATACCATGAACATTATACCCCCTCATTGCACCATCCTAATCGAGCAGCTCCCTTTGACGGTCTACCACCAGTGCCGAAAATCTATGCACTCCCAACGTTGCTCTCTGTCCACATCAATATCTCATCTCTCTCACCCCCTCTCCCTGTCTCTACATTTTTTCTTCCTCTGTGTGTGTGTTGGATAGACGGGTTAGGATTTAATCTGGTACCAACGCTACATGGTTAAGCTCACTCTAAATATATGTTTATAGAGTTGCCATAAGAGGAAACAATAATTATGAGACGAAAAATCTAAGTGAAACATGCAAGCTATACCCTTTATTGTGGCCTAATATCCATGCATGTATGGTTATAATGACACGGGAACCTTTGCATTGCCCAAACCTTGTACGACATCCTTTGGAATGACGATTGTACGCATGTAATCAACGTAGTGGGCGCCGGCGACGGAAGAGAACCAGGATCCCATCCAATGGATCGATCGATCCTCTTCTTCCTAGCTATGATCGTCGACGGATTGTACGTATATACTCTCCTTTCTGCCTGCTTTTGTCGATTAGTCGTCGTGTCGTGCAGCTGCAACCCAATCGACCTAATAATTCACAGAAATTATGGGGACCAAAAATATATCTGTTGCATGGATCTGGTTCTCATTGGGTGTATATATATTACATGACGGGGAGGGCGCTGGCCTACACGGACAATGAATCCTAAACAGCGTCCAATTGGAGACATGTGTGTACATTTTTTCTTCTTCTTGTTTTGAACACAATATAGACCCAAGCGCTCATACATACACCCATACACTCACCCTTATGAACGCACACACGCACAGCCTACCCCTATGAGCATCTCCGAGAGACGGACATATCATCTCGAAATTTATGAAGTCACTGTAGGCGCCTCGTTGTCAACGGGAACGTCTTCTCCCACTGAAAGCGCATCGTCGGAAATCCTAAAATAAATTCAGGAATAATGCGAGCACTAGGACTTGAACCCTGGTGGATCGGAGATATCGGTGAGGGGTAGACTCGTACGTACGTTGGGTTGTTTGTTTGGGCCTCGCCCTTGCTATTTTCCTCACCCTAAGCGAACATTTCTTTTTTGCAGCTAAAAAAAGCGAACATTTTTTCCAGATCTGAGAATAATTTTTAAAAGCGCTTGTTTTAAAAAGAACATTTTTTGAATTTGTGTATTTTCTTTTAATGGGTGAAAAAATTGGGAACAGTAAATGTTCTTTTAAAAAAGCGATTTTTTAACAATGTTTTTTTAACACAGTAAATGTTCTTTTAAAAAAAGCAGGAACATTTTTGAATTTGTGTATTTTCTGTTGAAAACATGAAAAAATTGGATAACGCAAACAATTTTGCAATTACCGAACATTTCTGAAAAAACAAACCTGTTAAAATTTGTGAAGATAATTTTGAAAACGGAAACTTTTTTAAAAATTTGAACAATTTTTTTCTGAAAAACAAAAAATATAAAGAAATATACAAAAATTTGGGAATCAGACAGACTCTTGACTACGTATTTATTTTCCCTTTTTGTTTTTTCGTTTCTATCTTTGTCTTCTTTTACACATGTTTCTTGTTTTTCCTTTTCTTTCCGAATTTGTATTTTACTTTGACCGAAAAAAAAAGAGATAGAAACGAAAAAAAATGGGCCGTCCCAGTCAGGGGCACCCCTGTGCGACGCGCCGTCAAGTCGCCCCAATGAACTGCGAATACGGTTTGCCAACAGAATATTGTACGTCTTATTAGGCAGCCAAAATGCGTACGTCATCGAGAGTCTGTCTGATACTGATTCCCAAATTCTGAACGTGGGCCTTATTTGAGTTTCTACTTGTAGGCGACTAGGAGGAGGCGATCCGACTTGATTTGCCCCGTGGCCAGCCGGAGATCACACAATCAATTCCCCACCCCTCGAAAAATAAAAAAGATAACCTCAAAAAAAAGAAAAAAAAAGATAATAGAATCGACGAAAACGGACGACTATGGGATCCTTCTTCTCTTCCGCCGGTGCTGACCCCGACGCCGACGCCGTCGACTTCCCTTCCTTTGATCGCCAGAGAAAACAGTGAGAATTCCGTCTTAATTTATTTATTATACTTCCATACGTTCTCTCTCTCTCTCTCTCTCTCTCAATTTAGTTTAGTTATTACTGAATTGACGTAGTACTTGTGTTCGTGTGTCGGTGTGTGCATGCATGTTAACGTATATATTTGGTGACAGTGAGCGTTTTGCCCTCGCTGCCAACATGTACACCATCTTTGCCCTCGGCCATTACAACTCCAGGAACCCGGTACGCTATTTTATGTCATGTAATCCCCCATTTGGATATACTCCATATATGGCCTAATGCGTAATTTAAGATTTACTTTGACCATCAGTAAGATCACTAACTATATGTTCGTGTGTGTGCACGCAGGATGTTATGTTCTATCCTGCTGCGGAGCCCATGGAAGTGCCCAGGGTCGCCTGTGTCGGCTTCAGGCAGGACTTCTGGTACCATGTCGGCTTCTGGGCCCGGCGGAGGGATGCCACTGACGACACTGAACAGAAGTACTTCTTTGCCGAGCTGCGGTTCGAGCGCCGCTCTAGACGGTTGGTGGTCGAGACATGCACCCTCTTGGGTAAATTACCTAATCTATCTAGTTCCTCCAGATTAACTAATTGTATTCATGCATGTTAATTCCATTTATGTATGTGTGGCATGTTACAGAAAAGCCGATGTGCCGTTTCAAGAGTAGGTGCGCATTCTGCCCGGATAGATTCCAGATCTTGCATCCGAGTGATGCTGAAGAGTTTACTTGTGGGAAGAAAAGGCACAAAAAGAAGTTCTTCAGGGAGAGAAATATGCTTGGCAGGCCTTTCATGCTTAGATAGACACCTTAAGCTTAACGAAGCACTATTTTGTCACCTTCAGCTATATATTGCTTGTTCAGTTTATTGTTTATAAGAGTTGAAAACATGTAAGATAGTGTTCATGTCACTATGGGATTACTTTTTGGTTGGTGTATACTTCACCAATGCTCAAGACTGATTCCACTATTAGTACTGATGGGTTGGGCCAACATGTGTCCGATTTTTACATATGGTTTCATGTGAAATAACCATTCCGCACCCCCAGCTTGCAGTCCCACTGCCTCTCCCGTGCCTTCTCCTCACCCACCGGCGACGAAATCGACATTTAAGCTGCCGTCGATTAGCCCCATCCTGTCGCCGCCAAGGTCCATTTCCTTCCCAATGAATGCACGAGCTATGCTAGAATTGCTTTTCTTGCGAGATGAAGATTTTGATGAAGACTTTGAGGATTCCTTCTTGTCATCAGAGTCATCATCTCTGTTAGACTTCTTCGTCTTGACTCCCTTTTCCAGAGAGGGTAGTCAAAGATGTAATGGCCTGCCTTTTTGCATTTGTGGCATGTTCTCTTGTCGTAGTCTCAAGCAGAAGCTTCTCCAGTGTTCTTCGAGTCCTACTTTGAAGACTTTCCAAAGATATTTCTCTTGGAAAACTTCTGGAACTTTCTCACAAGCATAGCCAGCTCTTTGTCTATTTCCTCACACCATTAGTAGTGCAGTCATATGCTTCTTCCTCAGATGAAGAAATTGCCTTGGCCTTTTCCTTCAGAGCGCGAGGTCGTCCATACCTGTTACCATACATATCTCTCTTCTCAGCTTGCTAAAATTCATGAGTATTGAGCCTCTCAAGGATATCAGCCGGATCAAGTGCTTTGTAATCAGGACGCTCTTGAATCATCAGGGGTAAGGTGTCAAAGGAACTATCTAGAGGCCTCAGCAATTTCTTCACAACCTCATGATTAATGACGTCAGCAGCACCGAGAGCTTGAAGCTCATTGGAGATATCGGTGAGGCGATCGAAAGTCTGTCTTTTCATTGCGGAGTCTTTTGAAGAGGTTGAAGAGATTGCGGAGCACATCAACACGTGAGTCACGCTGTGTGGAAATGCCTTCATTGACCTTGGAAAGCCTATCCTAGATAAGCTTTGCAGTTTCCAGAGCACTCGCACATCCATACTATCCTTTGTTGAGATGTCCATATATGATGTTCTTCGCTTGAGAGTCGAGTTGCTTGAATCTCTTCACATCAACACCGTTGATGCTAGGAGAAATATCAGGAACACCATTCTCAATGATGAACCAGAGGTCGTTGTCAATTGCCTCAAGGTGCATGCGCATCTTGTTCTTCAAGTAAGGATAGTCTGTGCCATCGAAGATGGGGCACATAGCGGATACCTTGATCATAAATGTGGTCGACATAACTAAAAGTCAAAGTGGTTAAACCAAAATCACACAGAACAAGGGAGTACCTTTCTCAGAAACCAATTGAAAGCGCAGGTTAACTCACAGAGGGGGTGTGTGAATGGAAGATTTTTTAAATTCGTCAATCTCTGAGGAATTTGATGAAAATCGGAGTGACGAAATAGATGCTCAATCACTTTGTCTCTGGGTTTTACCTCACTTAGGATTCTCTCAAAGTCGACAAAGGATGGGTTGCTCTCTTATGACAAGTGTCAAGTTCTCTCGGAGCATCCAACCAACAAGTGGTTGTGGGGGCGGCTATTTATAGCCAAGGGCAACCTGACATGAATTGTCATAAATGCCCTTCTCTGGTTCGACCATTATCAGGATAAAGATCCAGTCGATAACTCGCCCGTGGCGCAGCAATGGTCGGAATTTGAACTCTCAAATTCGTCGGGGCACTTAGTTTCCTCACTTTTAGGCAGATCGCACTGGCCAAATCCTAACTCCTAAGTGTGACCAAATTCGTCAGTGACCAGATGAACTTCGTCACTGTCACTAGTAAATTGGTCAACTGTACTGGAGATTTCCAAAGGCTTCACTCAAAGCGGCTAGAGTAGTATAGGTTTGAGCATCACTTTGGAAATGTGAAATATGTTTCACCTAGAACCCCTTTAATAGTATAGTTTTCCTATGACTCAAATAAGATAAAAGAGACTGCGAAAACGAAAGTCTTCAAGGTTCAAAGTTCTCACATCAATTTCTTCAAAGGCTGTACCAATTTGGTCACCAATTTCTTCACTTGAAGAAATATATTTTTAGGGGTCCTCTTCCATGTGTTAAACCAAATCTTCCGGGACTATAACTCTTGTGTAGAATCAGAAACACATTAGTCACTCAACCTATTTGTCTTCAATACTCCAAAACCAAGGGGGCACTTGATGCACTTACAGTTGTGCACTTGCCTAAACATAAGAAAACCGTTTGCTGCAAATGGATCTTCAAAAGAAAGGAGTGTTTGTCTCCTAGTGAGCCCGCGAGGTTTAAGGCAAGGTTAGTGGCTATGGGCTTCAGTCAGATACCAGGTGATGACCCACACGTATAGGGGATCAATCATTGTCCTTTCGATAAGTAAGAGTGTCGAACCCAACAAGGAGCAAAAGAAAATGACAAGCGGTTTTCAGCAAGGTATTTTCTGCAAGGACTGAATTATCGGTAACAGATAGTTTGGTTGCATGGTAATTCATAATGGGAAACAAGTAACAAGTGTAAAAATGGTGCAACAAGGTGGCCCAATCCTGTTTATGGCAAAGGATAAGCCTGGATAAACTCTTATATGAAGTAAAGCACCCCCGAGGACACATGGGAATTATCGTCAAGTTAGTTTTCATCATACTCATACGATTCACGTTCGCTGCTTTGATAATTTGATATGTGGGTGGACCGGTGCTTGGGTGCTGTCCTTACTTGGGAAAGCCTCCCACTTATGATTAACCCCTCTCGCAAGCATCCGCAACTATGAAAGAAGAATTAAGATAAATGTAACCATATCATTAAACATGTGGATCCAAATCAGCCCCTTACAAAGCAATGGATAAACTAGGATTTAAGCTTCTGCCAGTCTAGCAACCCATCATCTACTTACTACTTCCCAATGCCATCCCCTAGGACCAAATAATGGTGAAGTGTCATGTAATTGACGTTCACATAACACCACTAGAGGAAAGACAACATACATCTCATCAAAATATCAAACAAATACCAAATTCACATGATTACTTATAACAAGACTTCTCCCATGTCCTCAGGTACAAAAGTAACTACTCACAAAGCATGTTCATGTTAAAGATCAGAGGGTAATAAATATCATTAAGGATCTGAATATATGATCTTCCATCAAGTAAACCAACTAGCATCAACTACAAAGAGTAATCAACACTACTAGCAACCTACAGGTACCAATCTGAGGTTTTGAAGCAAAGATTGAATACAAGTGATGAACTAGGGTTTGAGATGAGATGGTGCAGTTGAAGATGTTGATGAAGATTGATCCTCCCACGATGAGAGGATCGTTGGTGCTGATGATGGCTTCGATTAGCCCCTCCCAGAGGGAAGTTTCTCCGGCAGAATCGCTCCGTCGGAGCCCTAGATTGCTTCTGCGCAGGTTTCGCCTCGAGACAGCAGCGTTTCATCCCGAAAGCCTTCTCATGATTTTTTTAGGTCAAAACGCTTCGTATAGCAGAAGATGAGCACCAGAGCCAGGCCAGGGGTTCAGGCTTGTGGCCACCTGGTGCGTCCCCTTCTGGTACTTCTTCGCCCAATATTTTTTAATGTACTCCAAAACATTTTTTCGTAAAGTTTGAGGATATTTGGAGTTGTGCAAAATAGGTATATCAGATTTGCTCCTTTTCAGTCCAGAATTCCAGCTGCCGGCATTCTCCCTCTTCATGTAAATCTTGTAAAATAAGAGAGAAAAGGCATAAGAATTGTATCCTAAAGTGTAATAACAACCCATAATGCAAAAATATCAACATAAAAACATGATGCAAAATGGATGTATCACCAGATATTGATTATAATGATGTGTTCTCTCCAATTGTCAAGCATTGTTCCATTTGTGCACTTTTTGGTATTGTTGCTATGCATGATCTTGAGCTTGATGAGTTAGATGTCAAGACCGCTTTTCTACATGGTGAACTGGAGGAGGAGATTTGCATGGACCAACCGGAAGGTTTCATAGCGCCTGGTAGGGGGAAATTTGTTTGCAAGTTAAAGAGGCCCCTATATGGTTTGCAACAGTCTCTGATACAGTGGTATAAAAGGTTTGATTCATTTATGATAGCACATGGATTTAAGAGGTCTTCATATGATAGTTGTGTTTACATTAAATTTGTTGATGGATCACCTATATACTTGTTGTTATCTATAGAAGGTATGTTGATTGCTGCCAAGGGCAAGAAATAGATCAATACTTTAAAGGCATAGTTAAATAGTGAGTTTGAGATGAAGGATCTTGGTCCTGCTAAGAAAATTCTAGGTATGGAGACTACAAGGGACCAAAATTCTGGTTTGTTATTTCCTAGTCAGCAGAGTTACATTAAGAAAGTTCTTCATCGTTTCAACATGTGTCGTGGATTTAACACGATAGATGCCCTAGCAAAAGGACTTAGGTGTGGAGCCATCGCAGCTAGGTTAGCTTCAAGGGGTTAAGCGGGACAAAGGACACAGAGAGTTTTTACCTAGGTTCGGCCCCTCTCAATGAGGTAAAAGCCTACTCCTGCTTTTGATTGTATTGCTTGTGTTTCGATTAGCAGGGAGCGAATACGCTTGACCTAGTACTCGATCAATTGTTTCTTGAGTTAACCCGTCACCGGGTCTCACCTTTATATGCACAGGTTGAGTCCTGGTGGATTACAGAGTCCCGGCCAGCTCACACAACGTGACCGGCTCGGTTTCTAACAACACTTGCCTTACAGAACAAGTTAAACATACGACGGCTCATCCCTTTGGGCCTCAAGTCACCTCCGGGTCTTGGGCCTTCAATAAGCTTGCTTTATGAACCGCCATCTTCATATCTTCTTGGGCTTCTTCATCTTAAGTCGTCCGTAGCATGACCCCGGCCCCT